TAAACTAAAACATATAAGAGCTTAGTCAAGACAACTCATGCTAAAACAAACAAAAATTATATCATCGAATATAATTATCCACTTCATAATAGTGACAAGGACCACAGAATAAAATAGAATTATAATAGTGGGGTGTGGGGGGGGGGGGGGGGTGTTTTTTTTTTTGGTGGGGGGGTGGGGGGGGGGGGGCGTTGATGAAGAGCAACCTGCAATTAACAGCTGCAGCTTGTCCTCATCAGTTAACAGCAGAAGACCCAAAAGTTCCAACCAAAAATACATACACCTTCTCAAGGACGGCTGTTAAATTATGGTAAGAAACATGGGAAGCAAACAAGAGGGCAGAGAGGAGAATGAAACAGCCACATACCTATGGAAGGAACAATGCAGTTGCTTATGCTCTCTCTCTTATCATTGCAATAAAGGTGTTTTCAAACAATTATTTATTTTCTCATCATATGGTCATGAAAGTGCTGCTTTTTTAGATTTAATCTTTCAGAGATCATAAGGTTTATATTCTTGTTTACTATTTTCACTTAATTGGTTTCTATTTTTTAGCAATATATATTTTTAGCAGCCATCTGTATACAATATACACATAAACAGTCATAGTGGAGACTCGCTCTAATCAGATTTCTTACCCTTTTGCTGAAAGGCATTTCAACCCACTTCCTACTCAATCTAAAATCACAAAACAGCTTTTGCTTTAAATATATTGGTGTGCTTTACAAATGTGTTCAGCACTTTGCTTGCTTCAAATACAGCAAATGAATAGGTAAAACACAAACAAACAAAAACTAATGTGACTGACCTCTCAACCAATCAAGATTCTTTGTAGATTTGTACAGAGAACACTCCATGGAACACCAAAGGTTTTACACTGAAGCCTATATTTTATGAATTGACCATAAAGTGTGGTATAAATAAATAGTAGTGTGCAACCTTAGTGTCCATGTGAACCTACCTCAAACCGTATCTTAATTTGCAGGTATACAGCCTAAGTTCAATTACCAATGTACCAAAATTACCTTGATGTTTTAAAGGAGAACTATGAGGTGAGTGCTTTTCACTCACCTCATAGTTCTAGACGACCTGTGACAATGAGAGTGCCACAGGTTGGCTCAGTAGATCGGGAGGTGAGCGAACAACATACCGGTGTTCGCTCACCTCTCGATCCTGTCACGGCTCTCTGCCGTGGCAGGGGAGGGGCTGGATTTCCCCCTCCCCGCTCCGATCCGCCAGCGCTGACTGGTGGATTGGACGGTGGAGGAGGCGGGTACAGCTGGCTCTGCCTCTAGATAGGCAGAGCCAGCTGTCAGTCACGCAGCTGGGCGGATCCCGGCACAATTGTTGGGATCCGCTTCAGCTGCGGCGTCGCGGTAGCTGTAGCTCGCGGTATACTGCGGCGTCTCAGTAGCTTGCGGTATACTGAGCTTAGGGTGACGGGGGGACGCCAGTTTGTGTCCTCCCGTTACCCTAAGGAGAACTATGGGGAAAAGACTTAACCCCATAGTTCTCCTTTAAGTTTTGTTTTCCAACAGAAAAATACATTTAAAGTGTGCTCAAACCTTAAAATATACCTGAAGGCTGTTATATTCACACAGGTCTAACATTAGAGAGCTAAAACCAGCACCCACAGCCTCTTCCCTCCTGCGCTCCGGTGGTTAGAGGCCTGCCCATAGTGCTGCATTATATCTGAAGATGCTGAGGGACAGTCAATAAGTCAGTGGATAGGTGACAAAGGTGAGTGCTGACTGCCGGGTAAGCAGAGATCAGATAACTAAAAGTCACACACAATACCCCTAGACATAAACAAACAGTTAATGGGTGGGATTATGTAACATACTATGCTGCACAACATATGTTGCATATATACAAGTATGTTGCATATTTTTGACTGTACAGTGATCTCTGAGTATAAAAAGTGTATATCAAGCCAAAACTTTTTTGTTGTTGTTATATTTAAATAGAGTAAGGGAAGGGTCAGTGACGTATTCAGGTATGGAAAGGATGGCCAGTAGGGATGTTTGGTGTTTAATAAAATAGGCTGTTCACCAAGGCCCAACATCCCACAGGAAGGGAGCATACAGTGGTGGCACTACTACTGCTACTATATGTGGCAGCTTGCTATACTATAAGGGCCGCTGGTTACTAGGAAGCCGGCAGTTAACTGCATCTTAGCAACCAGTCGCACACCTTGCCCCTTTCAACTGTCAGCTGGGAAATGTTGCAGGCCCTGCCTTGATGCTTCTGCAAAGCAGAAAAACTGTTATCACCCGTTTTATGCCCAGTGTCTGCTATAAAGAAACATTATCAAAACAATTTATGATTCAACTCTAGCTTTTTTTGTTTTTGGTAGCATGAGTAAAAGTTAGACCCATTGTAAGGTTATTTTTGTCTGTGTCCCATTAGTTCCGTGGAGAGATTTACAGGCATGGGAATGTGCTTTGTGAAATGTTTCACTAACATTTTAAATAGGAAACTATATAATCCAACAGTATTTATCATCATAAAAATAGCGTGTTCTTACTGATAGCGAAGGGCATCTTGCCAATAGTTGCTAAATATTACAATGCCTGCATCCTATTGCACTTGTGGCTTCCAATGTGGCACCAATGACTTTGGGTCATAAGAGAGACTAAGGGGTCTATTCACGAAGCTGCCGAAGGATCTAGCAGTATCTTCGGCCGATCCTTCGGCTAGCTTCGGCCCCAGTAGAACCGAAGGGCTGCTGTACAGGCCAATAACTATAGCCTGTACAGCTCCCGAACGTAACTTTTTAAACTCTTTTTCTGTTCTGCTCGGTCCCTCTGAGGGACCGAGCAGAACAGCCGAGCCGAATGCCGCTATTCACTCACTGCTGTTCGGCACCTATAAGAATAGCCCGAACAGCAGTGAGTAGCCTCCCGGAGGTTCGGCTCAGCCGATCCAGATGTTTGATCGGCTGAGTCGAACTCCTTCTGCACTTCGGGTCGGCCGAACATGCTAAGCATGTTCGGCTGACCCGAAGCCATGCGAAGCAAGCTGATGTACTGCTGATTTCAGCCGATATACGGCCGAAATCAGCCATACCAGCCTGAAGTGAATAGCCGAACAGTGTTCGGCTCACTTCACTTCAGGTCGGTCATTTACTCGGCTGCCTATGGCAGCTTAGTGAATAGACAAGTAACTTTCTTATCTTGTGGAAACAACTTGTCTGAGGCCAATTCTTTAACAATTGCTCTCTGAGCAGCTATTACAATGTCTGCCTAAGCACTTCCAAAGAAGGATGCCCATGAATTTGAGAGAGTCCAGAGAAGGGCAACAACATTAATAAGAGGGCTGGAGGACCTAGCGTATCAAGAAAGGTTACAAAATGACATTTGTTCACTCTGGAAAAGAGGATTAATAAGGGATATGATTGTAATCTACAAATTGTTTATTGGTGATGGTAGAATCAGTAATAAACTGTTTACCGTACGTTCACTTAAGAAGACAAGAGGCCACTACCGGAAATTGGAAGAAAAAAGCTTTAATCTCAAACTGTGAAGGAGATTCTTTACTGTAAGAGCGGTAAAATTGTGCAATTACCTTCCCCAGGTAGTGGTATTAGCTGGGTATTGACTCATTTAAAAGACTTTTAGACGCCTTCCTCAGTCTTCTGCAATCACAGGGGAAGGGCCCGGCACTCCATAAGGCTGTCCTGTAAAATGCCTGTGTGATGCGGACAGGCGTTTAGGGCAGCCTTAAGCAACACCAGGGTCCTTCTCTGCATATGTGAAAGCCGGCGGGTCCCTACAGGTGCCCAAAAAGAAATCCGGACCTGTACATACATGTATTCCAGTGAAGGCTGCATGGCATTTCTCAAGGGTGGATTTCCTGATGGTGATAACAGTTTGATATTAGTATGATAATGCAGGAACACAAGTGAAAGACAGGGAGAGAGTGTGACCACCCTACAACAAGAAGCAGCTTAACAAGAACCTTGGCAGGATCAACAGGTGTTGTTTTATTGAATTACAAATCATGAAAATTATTTTTGGAATTATCTTTAGATATTAAAACTTATATGAGAGTTTAGTCACTGAGTGGTCATATACTTTCATTTTCTTTGTATAGTTTTTACAAAGCGGCTCTTCTATCTAGCTTTTCTTTTTGTAATGATGTTTTATGTGCAATTTTTTATTTAATCGGTTGAGTGCTTTTTGTTAAACAAGTGGACTGTTTTAGGGTTGTACTGTAAGTTAAAAGGATTTATTCAAGAAGCTGTTATATAAGTATGAAGAGAATGAGACTAAGGTTGAGAAAGGCACAGGAAACATAGGCTTGAGCTTATGAGTCACAAGACAATAAATAGTGATTATAAGTCTATGTGCATCAACTGACAATTGACAAAGTTCTTATGATACAAATCATTCTTATAAAGTGTGATGCCCTTAAAGAATAACACTCCTAAGTGAATGAAAAGATTGTTGAAGAAATGTATTAACTATTTCAAGAAAATGCTGAAGTGTATCTGTCAGTGACAGTACCTCATATAAGTACCAAATTACAGAATTCAGACAGGAATATATAGTATTCAACAGCAAAGCTAACATTATCTAGTGACTGGCTTAAGTAAATAACAATTTGATATTGATTCCACTGGAAGAATAAAGAGCTTGTGCTGGAAGCATTGACTACGTGAAAACAGTATGATGACGAAAGTTTGACACATGGGGATAGCTAATAATGTGACCCTGGCTTAAGCTTCCCAAATTGTTCAAGAACATCTCATAGTTCAATGAAGCTATTTGTTACAGAGGAGAGACTATTCCACACTGAATTGAGCTAATAGAGGATTACCTGTCATTTAGGAAGAAGGAAGGAAAAAAAAATCAGTGCATTGACTGTTTATTGAGATCTCCAAGATCCAAAGGGTGGGTGATTCTTCATTGAGCTTTGACGTACAATAAAAGGAGTCCTGGTCACTCCCCCTTCTTAAAAAAAAGAGCAACTGAAGCCTCTGTGAAATCGGGATCAGACAGAGATCCAGGGCAGTCAGAGAAGTTTCACCTTCCTGGGAATAAAAGATTTTCTTCTCTGACAAATAGCACAACTGAAAGAGGTAAGACACAACTCTGAGACTGGATTCTGACATTAGTATATAGCATGTTGACATTCTATAGAAGTAAAAGATAAGGGGGAGAATTAGAGAAAGAACAATTTGCAGTTGATGTGAGAGTACAGGGGGTCTAGTATGTGCAAAGACTTAGAAAACACAAAGCAAACATTGGTCATTTCAAGCTGAATGAGAGTAACAGAACGTAAAACAAGTAGGAAAACTGACATTCAGCACGCTGGACAGGGACACTGCTTGCAAGTGTTCCAGATAAATTGATCCACTTAACTGTTTAACTCTATATTCAAATTAGCAAGAGCATCTGATCTGACCAGGATTTTCTAGAGGAAAACAGTTTTCCTATATATTTTCTTGTTCACACAGCTTATTCTTTTTCATGTGGAATTCCATGCGATTGATAAACCTTTAAAGAATTTTTAGAAGATATACTTATGAACAATACATGTTTATTGCATGCTTTGACTATGTTAATCATTTGCAAGTTATCTTGCTATATGTATATTAGAAGCAATTAGCTCAGTGAGAGCATACTATACTATACTATAATATAATATATGTACTTACAAGGAAACTTGTCATAGAAGAGATATGGAGGTTGCCTCTACAGATCTACTCTAATAATGGTAGTTCCCTGTCTATCATGTTAACCTTTGCAAATGACCTGCAATACTTATGCAGAGTTTATATAGTTTTATAATCCTGCCAGTAAGTATGTTATTTCAAAAATATCTTTAACAGGGCAAGCCGTCCAGCAAATGTAGCAGTTAGAGGGTTGAGATGAAACCTCCAACACTGGCAGGGGTGCTTACAAGTTTTACTCATATGGTAGTTTTTTTATTCCAAATGGAAAAACAAAGTGTTGCTTTAACTGCTTAAAACGTGTTGGCTGGAGTAAGGCTTTATTTGTTAGTCGCCCATGTTGCTGTTCCCAGATAGCTATGATGAATTGAGTGAGTATAGCCATCCTAAAGCAAGAAGCATGTTAGTGGCTGGATCACCAGGTGAAAATAAAGAAAAAACAGAAAGCTAATGCAGCCACCACATTTAAGTACTGATAACTTGCAATATATTACTTTTTTGTTCTTGGGTTCAGATCATTTACATATACAGACAAACAGGGATGCAGAATATACTGTACCTTGGGAGAAGGCCATTATAATTTAACACTGTATTACTGTCCCTACATATTTCCTGTATCTCTATAGCACTGACATTTTATCCCACCGACTTAACTGAGTACACAGAAGCACTTACATCAATCCCTGGCCACCAAAAGTAACATACATTCAAAGCTTACATTCAAATTTCCCTACCATATTTATACAATCACACACATGCGCATCAGAGCCAATTTTATAAGATGCCAATCAACCTAATAGTATGTTTTCAGCTTAATGGAGGAAGCTCATATGCAGAAATATGGAGAGAACCTTGGAAAGAACTGAACTCAGAACCCCCGTTTTGCAAGGCAGGAGCAATAAATGCATTTTTATAACATTCAGGTCAGAAAAATTACCAGTATTGTATTATTAAAAGCTTACTTTTATTTGAGCAGGAAATATAGGCTTTATATAGGATTATATACAATATAACAGAGAGTTTTATTGTGTGAAAACAAAATGTTTCCTTTATAGCTTACATTTGCATTAAAGCATGAGCAAAAGTCTGCCTATTCGCAGGAAGGATACTCATTTTAGTAGAAATGATCTGCTTACACCTTTTTTGATAAATGGCTTACATAAAAGTAACCAGTGACAGTGAAAATATATGTCTTACAAATGTACAGCCTATGGATATGCTTTATTTATGCATATACTGTATGGATGCCAGTGATCTAACCCTTTAAAAGCATATGCCTTATCTAACATTTCTTTAAAAATAACTGTCTGTAGTGCCTCATAGTGAATAATCAAATCCAAACTTACAATGGAAAGTAACAGATGGAAAAATACAGGCTAAAACCTGATTATTTGATGTTGGAAGATACAGAGAGCTATGGGGGATAGAAAGATGAATGAGGCCCAGAGAAGAAAGCAGCTTTTGGAGTTAATAGTTTTTCAGTAGATAGAGACCTACAAGTTACTTGAGTGTGAACTACACTGTTGTGATCACCAGCAAGGGACTGATGGATAGAGATAGGGAAGATTAGGATGCCTAATGGTGTGAACATCAAAACAGTGGACAGGTACATGGTATGGTTAGTTAGAGGGAATTCTATAACCCAAGAGTCTTTAGCCAGAGAGGGTAGTCAACTGAGCCCATGGTTGGTGTAGGAAGATAATTGCTGACGGGTGGACTTTTTATGACAGATAAGACTGTGTAATTCTATCCTGCCAGAAAAGCTTCTTCCTGTCTGTTGGCAATTTCTTTATTTTTGTTTTTGTACACTGAGCCGCACATGTGCATACTCTCAGCAGGATTTTTGTAAAGATCAAAAAAATTCCTGAGAGCATGTGTAGGAGTTACATCATTTGGGCCAAGCCAATCTGGTGGCCCAAGACTCCAAGACCGGAAGAACTTATGGATGAAGGTGTAAGCACCGGCGAGGGAAGTGTCGTGGAATTTTCTTGTGCATAATCAAGATGTATGCTCTTTCGTTAGTCAGTGAGGCCTAATTTAAACACAGAGTCAATAATGCAGTATTGGGATCAAAACACACATACACAGCAGATGTACAAAATGATCTGTGTTTATTTTTGGATTGTATTAAGATTATATACTCAAAATTACATATAAAATATAGGTGGGATCATATTATTATTGACCAATGTCAGATACAAGATTAATTCAGGACACATACAGTAGAGTTAATAGCCTTATGATCATGATTTCATAAAAAAAAAAGTAATAAATGTCTTGTGACTTGAATATTGCTGTAATGGTTGGTCCATGGCTGAGGTGGTCCCTTGCATGGTCTTTGTGCTTCATACAAAAGAGGAAAATCACAGAGGTAGAATGACAGAATGCATAACTTGATGAGCAGGACAGGCACACAGGGGTCTAAAGTTCATTTCTAAGCAAGTTCTTATAACTGCATTCAGACAGGGAAGAAGCAGTGGGTCCCCAAGTTCTCATTGTGTGAGATGCCAGTCCTCCTCCTTCAGGAGTAGCAAATTCAGATCACTGCATATAGTTGCAAGTAGGAGTCGATCACTTGTACTGCTTTTAGTTTGTGGTATCACAAGCATCACATAATTTAAGGATTAAACAGAGCACGCATCACAAAACCAAGCGCAGCACACCGGTTTATAATTGATCGCTTTGATAGATATTGCTGCAGCTGGATCTCTTGGCTATATTTGATTTTTATATTCATATTCGAAATTGTTATTTTCTCTGTATGTTGGGTTTTTTAGTTTTAATTTAATAAATTTTTATTTTTGCCATATATCCTAGCGCAACTATTTTGGTTACCAAATTCAGATCACAGTTTCTATTTCTTTTTTGTATTATCATAGGCAATAATTGGCTGGGCATTGAAGCTACCGTCAGTAGATTGGAATGCTAGAACCCCTGCCAGTTGTTTTGAGATTTTGCCTTGCATTCTTTTCCCAGACAGAAATTGAGGGCCATTTTCTTGAACAGAGATGCAATGGTGGAAGGTGGAGGTGGAAGTCTAGAATCTCATTTAGCTTTTTATTGTTGCCTGTGTCCCCATTGGAGATTTCTCCTTTTTTTTCTGATACACTTAAAATGTTAGCACTAGTACAGGACCTGAAGGGAAACTTCAGCAATACATAGGCAGCAAAAGACAGGGGTTCTTCTTCCCTACTCTATTCAAAACAAAAAAAATATGTAATGCACCTACCTTAGGAATACAATCAAAATCAACATGATCTAATACTTATAGGGTACTTATAGGGAACAGTACTAGCAAAATACTGGGCCTCCTTATCCTAGGTGTAACCAATAGCAGCAAGGACAGGTTTTTTTGTGTGATCAATGGTTATTTTTTACCATGGTAACGAGCAACATAAAGATGGGCCCAAATGTATAAGGTCATCAATACCTTAGGCTGCACAGTAATGTTATATAGTATAGACTTTAAATATCGAATTTTCTGAGCAAATAGCACTACTTTAATAATCAAATTGGTGGATGTGATAAATGCTAGGGTAAATGGCATTAGTTACTGTTTCATGCAAAATACATTTCCTTATGGTCTATTGATCTTTTAATAACCGGTGAAGAAAGTTTTTTAGTTAATTTAGTTTGTGAAAGGAAGCATCCTAAAGAGTGAGATAATAGCATGCAGGGAGGACTATAAAATGTTACTGATCAAGTAACTCAAGAGTGTAAGAGATAAATTGACAGTGGCATTGCTTTGATTGAGCAATATTGTTTCATAAAAGGCAATCATTTACTAAGAGGTTAGTAAACATTTGGAAGGTTACTACAAGGTTAGTGAATGGTTGGCACTACGTAACTGTTACAAGTTAGGAATACTTCCCTCTTTCAGGTAAAGGTGACACTGTGATCTCCTACTGAAGCTATATACATAGACTATATTGCCAAAAGTATTGGGATGCCTGCCTTTATACGCACATGAACTTTAATGGCATCCTAGTCTTCGTCCGTAGGGTTCAATATTGAGTTGGCCCACCCTTTGTAGCTATAACAGCTCCAACTCTTCTGGGAAGGCATCCACAAGATTTAGGAGTGGGTCTATGGGAATGTTTGACCATTCTTCCAGAAGCGTATTTGTGAGGTCAGGTACTGATGTTGGACGAGAAGGCCTGGCTCGCAGTCTCCGCTCTAATTCAGCCCAATGGTAATGTTCTCTATCCAAGGTAAATCCTAGCTACCTTTAAATACATTTGTCACATACATGAACTTGTGTTTAAATATGGGATTTCCAAATTCACTGCTTCGGGGTAGCACAGGTGATAGTTTGGGCCAAATAATGTTACTGGTTTATTTTATTATTAGGGAATTAAATTGTATTTTATTCTTTTTACAGACCCTAAAGAAAGGGAAGGATCATAATCCTTGATGAAAGAGTTGAGTAGTAATGCTACCACTTGTTTTTTTTTTGCACATTCTGTATTATACACAAGGACATGGACTCAATCTACTTACAAACATGTTTGTCTTTTAAAACATTTTTTAATGCAATTACTCTGCATGTGCTTCACTTGGAATGTTCATCATTTTGCCAGATATCATAGTAGTAACTGTGAGAATGGAAAGGCATTTAAACTCCAGAATCTCAGTACAGGGGAAAACAGCCTTTTCATTTAAAATCCATTAAACCTTCTACATTACAAGATCTATCAAAGTATTTTATACCTCAATGTCTTATTCCATGTTTATTTTGCATTTGTAGGACTCTGAAAGTGATATGATCACTGGACGCACCGTGCAAGCAAACAGTAGTATGCAACTAACATCTCTACTGCTCTTTCTGGGAATTTTTGCCATCCACACCATCTGCTGTCATGGTCAAGTAGACCCACTTGCCCTCAGCCGTGCAGATCCCCAGTGTTGGGACTCATCTACAGCAAAACTACTGGAGATGAAGAAACCCCGGATAGCAGATTCTGTGCCTGAATTCTGGGACTTCATGATATATTTGAAGTCATCTGACAACCTTAAACATGGTGTTTTGTTTTGGGACTTAGCACAACTTTTTTGGGACATCTATATACACTGTGTACTCTCCAGAGCACATGGCCTTGGTAGAAGACAGCTGAACGAAGAAGAAACAAAAGTAACTAATTTCATTTCACAGTACACCTCAAGTAAGTTCTTTGAGATGTGGCCAGCTAAAATCAAGCTAAGATGCACAAAATACAATATAATCTGTTAGCACTACAAAATAAACATTTAATAACAAAAACGTAAATATTCAGTGGCATCAGGTGAGATTTCTGCCCTTTCTATCTTGTTTTAAAGACCATTGGCTGCTCACTCCTTTTAATGAGACCCAACTTGTGTCACAGGTGAGCAGCTAAACACATCTACTACTTGTTGTTCTATCATTCCTTCTACCTACCTAGAGATACCTACAGGGTTGGGAGGTATAGGCATCACCAGAATTTACCTGCTGGTTTTAAATATCACCTACACGGCAAGACCCGGCCCAGTCTGTCACTCAAGCTCACTGTTTAACTGTGTTTAAACCAACACCTGTTGCCTAAGCAATACGTTCATATCCTAGCCCCAGGCTCTAGTCCATGTTAGTTCCTGCAGACCTGCATTCATGTTTCTCAGGTTAATGACTTCAGTTTATATCTGACTATGCTTGTTTTTCACTTGCCATGACTTTTTGTCTGTCCTTGTTTCTGATATTGTCTGGCAACTATGTACTATGCTCTGATTCCTTTTCAGCTGCCATCTGCACAGGTGTGCCTGAGGACCGCAACCTGGTACATCCACCAGAAAAGTCTCTCACTCCCTGCAGGGTACTCTGTTGATGATCTAGTGTATGTGCTTTGGCTCTGTGCATCTCCCCTTGTAAGGGCTCACAACCTCTTCAATGTGCAGATAGTACAGAGGGTCCATAAGACATAGGATAACAAGTCCATATCAAATGCACCTTTGACAAAACCAGACTATTTAAGTTGAGAATATTATTAAAAAAGGAATAGGTAGAAGCTACTGTCAGTAAACACCACATGTGAAAAAGATTCAGTGATACTGTATAAACAGCTGAAGTTATATGCAAGCCTTCACCTTTCCTGTAAAAGATAAGCTTTACTCTATACCCTTGCACCTTTTGAAATAGTCTTTTGACCCCTTAATGTGATGGGAAGCCTTATTTAGAAGTAGGGAGTCTCAAGAGATGGGAGGAAGTGGATCCACGCTCTACTTCTGCTGGCCAAAATTTTAAATAATTGCTGATTTCTGTATTTCTGGATCTACTTATCATTTTGGAATGTAGTTTTCACTAAAGGCAACCTTTGCCTGTGCAATTGTTCATCTTATGTTCAGTTGATGTTGATGTTATTGCCTTGTTATTAATTTTCTTCAAAGCCAATTACCACCTACAATGTTTTATTTTATTTTGGATAAGATGGTGAAGGGTTAGGTCCTCTGTCAGGTTTTTTTTTTGCTGGGTGTGAAGTAGGAAAGCACCAAAAGCAGAATGTAAAAAGTTCAGATTCAGTTTATTTCAGACTGATTGGTTTAAAAAAACAATGCATTTCGGTAGTTAAAAGGATTCCCCTTCATTGGTTTTTGGTATTGTTGAACAAAGCATCTCCAGGGATCTAACTAGTTACCCCTTTAGGATTCCTCCAATTTAGGCAGTCCATTACACACTTTGTTTAACAGTACCAAGCCATGATGTAGTAGATGTGTGATACATTTTATCTTAGGTAGACATGGTAACTATGTCCCTATATCAGATACTGCAACAATACCATTCATTGTGCCGCAGGATTCACTACCCCAGTACAAGTTACTTCTTTATACTTAACACTTTATCATTATTGTAAATTTTTAAGACACTGGGCCAGATACATTTTTGTTGAGGTTCTCCTTAAAGAAATTTTCACAATCTGCACCAAATAAGGGTTCAGAAAATTCACTTCTTTTTTACTTTTTTTTTTCAGGGGGTTAATAACATACTTTCTTCTCTTATGCTTTTATGTTTTATTTTTCAAGTTTTGCTACTTAAAATAAAGAAATAAATACCGTTTTAAAATATGGGTTTTTGCTTATAGTGTTTAGAGTTAGTGTTTGGGGTATAGTTTGTCAACAGCACATTACTGCATTCTTTTGTGGTCCAGTTTACTAAACCGCATCACCACATTTTCAGGTGCACCAAAGCACCATAACCCCATATTGCCATAGGTGGTAATAAAATTAGGCAATCCCCTGTTTGCAGCATGTCTGGGGGGCCTAAAGGGAGACACCAAGATTCTTCACATGCAGCTATTAGGGGGAAAGCAGGTCTGCATCTACAGGACAGGGAGAGGATGGGTACGTCTGCCTTTCTTTTCTGGCAGTGGGCGTGCTATACAACCAGAGCATGTGAAGAAAGTGGTGGAGTGGATAGCCAAGCCTTCATCATCATCACACTCCTTCTTCCAGGTGCAGAGTAGCACAGTGCCAGCAGCAGCAGCAGCAAATGTGCCCTCTTTTTCTTTCTTTTGTATAGCTAATCATACGGTTGCCCCGCAAACTGGCATGAAGAAGTCAGCAGTATTATTTCAGTACAGAATCAGTAACTTGCTGCTGGAGGATGCATAGGAATTAATTGTATCTGATGTTGAAAAGAGCGCTAAAAGAATAGAGGAGTATGTTTCTCTTGGCATTATCTTCTGGCACCATTTTCTGCCACCCTTCCCACATCCTGCCACCATTAACAGCTACTTCTACCACGACTTGCCTGCTGACACCATAACCACCTACAGCCACAGCTGTAGGCCTGCCAACAGTACCATCTCATGCTACCTCTACAGTTCTAGGGCAATTTTCTTATGCGGGGTCAATCCTGCATTGTGCCTTAATATTTGTGGTGGCTTCTGGTACACTATTAAAAGCAAATGCTGCATGGGGTAACTGTTTAATCAAATGAGGCTGCTCCGGAAATGTGTTACAATTACACTCGTGCAGCATGTACCTACAGTGTTTGTTACATTTTAATTGAAAAAATATGAACCTTACATTTTTTTCCCACACTTCAAAGGGAAATACTGTAGGCAATGGCTTTATCCAATTAGTTCTAAAATAAATTGTAGCAATACTACATGCACTGTATTTAACATATTCTTTTTTAGTCAAATAAATATAATTTTTAAAAGGGTAAAGTACACTTATATTTGGCATGAAGAGCTGCATGCTTTGTGCCCATTTTAATATGCAGCCCCCTCCAACTGCTACAATGCTGACTTTGGGATCTGCAACATTGTTCTGGCTGTCTTACAGTGCATGTCATTTGTACCATATTTCTTGCTTTTTTCTCAAAAAAATACACTCTCATTTTTATTTCATGATAAAACCTTCTTGTTGCTTTCTCTGGAATTGCAGGCTAGTAACAAAAAAAAAACGGAAACTCTATGCACTGATTATGTACTATATTTCTGGCTTTTATTTCAGAAACAAAATACACTGTAATTTTTCATTTCACAAGAAAAACTGCCTTGACTCTCCCTTTCACATTGGGGACAAGTAAAACTGCATATATAATGTGAAACTATTTGGTTATTTTAGTTCTTGAGAATAAAATGACAAATCTCCCAAAAGCTTTCTGCTCTGTTGTGTCTGGCCTATTACTGCTAGATGAAAAAATCAGGTGTTGCAGCTAAAACTACCTTATAGAGCTTTTTTTCAAGTTGTGATGTACTAGATTGGGCTGCTGCTGTATGTAAGTTAAGGAATAATGTAAAGGTAAAAAAATGTATGACACATGTAATTTATATGATGTCAGAATGTGGTGTTGATTACGCTGTCTGGAAGAATTTACTGTTCCGTAACACACCACATATAGCTTAAATCCATCTCTTAAGCATGTAATTTGAAGAACTTGGGTTCTTCCCTGTCTCCCTTAAAGTCACAAAAAATGGAGGGCTCTTTCCCTACTGAAAGGTATTTAACACCCCCTCTCCCCCCAAAATTCAGTAGGGTTCTGATTAAAGTTTGCAATTGGCACCTTCCCATTAAAAAAAAAATGTCCTCTAAGTTTAGGATAGACATTTGTTGAGTTTACAGATCAGGATGCCCTTTACCTCATGGATGTTTCTTCGTTATATTTTATTCAGTCCTATGACTGAAGTTTAAACCAATTTGAGTATCCATGAAATACGTAATACTCCATGTGATTGTGAAGTGTAAAAACCCAGTAAAACCAACTGAATCTCACCTTTTTTAAAGTCCAACTTAAGACACATTTAAAAAAAAAGGGATTAGGATATCTGTCAGGTTTTTACTGCTGTCTGTGACCTTGTTAGGGAGATTCACCCTCTCTATTTGTCCTGGTGACCATTACCACTGAAAGTGAAAGGAAATCCTAAATTTTGAGTTTTCATCAGAACAGGAATAGATGGAAAATCTTTCAATGGGGACACTAGTCCAGGTGACCCTGCCGACCAGCAAGGATTTCTCCCTCCCTTTAGAGGGATTTTCTCTTACTTCCTGTTGTGGCTTTCAGACAGAAAGTAAAGGAAATCATCCCAATGGGACACCGATAGCAATTGCTTCAGTTTTACCTTACATTTAGAGTTTACAGCAGTCAGAACACTTTTGCTCAATGACATTTGTTTCATATGAGTACTGCCCCTTGCACTGTCTAATTAAACAATCCAATACTATTATGAAGCTGAAGCTGAATATCCAGTCCCAAGATACACACAAGCCTAACAAACAGCACAGCCAGGTTGGTGACCTGACTTTTTCCTTTACTGTGGTTAAGCAATACAGCATGGGCAACTCCCTGACCCTAGCCTCTGACTGGACCATGAAGGATCAGCAACATAGTGATGGGCTACCCCTGTTCAGTCTGCTCTCATTCCTTCTGTTAAAATGTTCCTTGCTAACTCATGTGCATTGCAAAACAATTGATGGGTGCCTATTGCTTTGCCTCCCTTTCCTAGTCTGCAATACAGTGTAAAAAACAACGGGCTAATAAATCAAAATCAGATATACACTAGATGTAGTAAAGATGCATTTAATACATTGTTAACAAACACATAACATTCACTGGTGCATTTTTTACATCTGCCTAAAGTTTAGCTTTAAAGCCCATCTCTAGCTTTAAAATCTGAAAATATGAATTTATTTTGCATTAAAACAGACT